ACGTGTATTTATGCACACATTTATTTATTTATTTATTGTTTTTGCAGGTTTCGTCCTCCATAGTTTGGCCCTCCATATCAGTTATGTCCCAGTATTCTTGCCATATTTTGTTTGTATGTCCCTTAATAATGGTTTTGATTTCTGTTCTACATAACGGTATTTATAAATCAACTGTTTCATACTTTATTGCTCCTCTTGCCAGAATATCTACAATCTCATTTCCTTCCACCCCTACATGAGCAGGAACCCAAAGGAAGGAAACATCCAGCCCTTTATCATACAGTACTAAAAGCAAGTTGAATATCTGGTATATGATATCTTGTCTACATAATGTTTTCCCAGATTGAATACTAGATAGAGCAGATAAGCTGTCAGAAGCTATGATTACATTTTGGTTCTATTTATTTCCTTCCAGCCACTGTAATGCCAATAAAATTGCTAAAAGCTCTACTGTGTACACCGATAAATGATCTGCTGTTCTTTTTTTAACTGCTATTTCATAATGCGAAATGGAGAAAGAGGTCGTCAATATCACGGCTGCGACAACATCTCGCGATACTTGCCCTGGAATAAATACTCCGCGAACTCTCGTGCGGCCTTCTTCTTCCTGAATACACATCACGTAAGTCAGTCATTTTTGAGCAGTATCTGTTAAAATCTCCTCAATCGCAAAATAAAAACACGACATTTTTATAGAAGACATGTGTCTACGGTTTAGTAACAATGCGATTGCGGAATGAATCGTATGAATTGTGTAGATGGGTTATTTTGGAGCAGTTTTAAACGGATGGTGTCAAACATGGCGGGGCACCGGTGAAACCGCTCGTTTATTCATTGAATACATTCTCGTATGATATGATTGATGTTAATTACACAGTATTCGCACTAAGGCTGAAATGTCAAAGTTGGATAGTAATGATAATCGATAAAAAGTAGGTTTTAGTCGGGCTCTTGAACATGTGCTTTTTTTTTCTTGACGTGTCTGACTTTAAACTAACTTGTTTATTAATTCGCGGAAATGTTTTCATGGTTTACAGCAAATGGCGGACGACGCCGGTGGTAGAGGAGGTTTTCGCGGAGGTTTCGGCACTGGCGGCCGGGGTCGCGGTCGTGGTCGCGGCAGGGGCCGTGGAAGAGGCCGCGGGGCCCGCGGAGGCAAATCTGAGGATAAGGAGGTAAAGCACCGCCTAAATCCTGCTTTGCTATGACTGTGTTATGAACTGGCATTATGTAATGTTTTATTTAAGAGATACATTCTCATATAAACTGTGCTGTTATGTTGGATCTTTCACACTTCTGCATGTTCTCTATTTGCAGTGCAAGTAGCTGTCAAAACAATTGATGAGATGTATAGCTGTAGCTTCAGTTTCCATTTACCAATAGACAAGACTTCTGTTTTATATAGTGGGTGCCCGTGACCAAACTTGGTCGTCTGGTGAAGGACATGAAGATCAAGACTCTGGAGGAGATTTACCTGTATTCTCTGCCCATCAAGGTATTAAAGTTTGCATGAAATTCATCCTCTTTATTTGAAAGTATACTGACTGTATGTTACAGATCTTAAAGTGAAGAATTCACTTGGTGGGGGAGCTGTAATGTTCAGTGTCATAACTTGATCTTCAGGTGAAAAATAACAACCAAGTTCCTCAATTCAATGTACCGATGCATAGAACCAAGTCCTTTACCGGCACGTTTTTTTTTTCATCTTTTAAACTTGGATGCATGTCACGGTACAAAAGAAAAGAGATGTCTCTACTTCTGTTTCACTAGGCGTGTTTCCATTACCCTTCAAATTGCAAATTGAAAGTACGCCTAATGGAAACGCGTCAATTTCGCAAAAACGGCCATAGATCGCAAAAAAGTTTACACTCTCTCATGAGGTGGTTTTTCAGCCAATGCGAAAGGATTCATTCGCAAAACTGCAATGGAAACGGCTTTTTCGCATTTACAGGTCACATGGCGTATGTAAAAAGTCATATGATCATTCTTCAACGTACTATTATCTCCAAGAAACGCTTCATAATTGGCCGCGCTCCAGTATAAGGTGCTTTCCCTACTATTAATACTTAGACAATTTACACTGCACACGTCTGCGGTGCAGTGTGGCTCTGATACGGTCACTGAAGCTGATTACAGCCACTCAATGCTTGTTTGTTTTTATACAGTCTGGTTTATTCCAGCCACGCACGTTTCTGAAGCGGCTCTCTGTGCTGCTTCTGTAAAGATACACGCATAAGCCTCCTTTGAATAAATGTAGCCAAATTCCGTTGCTGTTACTTATCATGAGGCAAAAGGTTACGTTTTGGCCGCATAACATTGGTTAATAGAAACGCCGTCATTTCGCAATACTTTTTTATCGACATTCAGAAAGTATCGCCAAAGTTTTGCGCAAATGTGTTATTTAAACGCGCCTAGTGTGACTTAAAAGTGACAAAAAGTGATGACATGCTTTACCTTTTGTGAAACCTACTGTTTTTCTTTCCTGTAGGAGTCTGAGATCATTGACTTCTTCCTGGGTTCAGCACTGAAAGACGAGGTCCTGAAGATCATGCCTGTCCAGAAACAGACCAGGGCTGGTCAGCGCACCAGGTTTAAGGTGACTTCCTGCTTCCTGAGTGTTAGATACTAGTCAGAATCCTTATCAGTTCTCTTAAGTTCCTAATCACTCAGTTTCTCAATCTTCTAGGCCTTTGTTGCTATTGGTGACTACAATGGACATGTTGGTCTGGGAGTGAAGTGCTCCAAAGAGGTAGCAACCGCTATCCGTGGTGCCATCATCCTGGCCAAATTGTCTATCATTCCCGTCAGAAGAGGATACTGGGGTAACAAGATCGGAAAACCACACACCGTGCCATGCAAAGTGAGTCTTCAAACGTGGTTTTGCGCACAGTTTGACTTTGTTTGGACATGTTTTTAATGGCTGAACGTGTATCCACTCAGGTGACCGGTCGCTGTGGTTCGGTTCTGGTGCGTCTCATTCCTGCTCCCCGTGGTACCGGCATTGTGTCCGCTCCCGTGCCCAAGAAACTGCTGATGATGGCTGGTATCGATGACTGCTACACCTCAGCCAGGGGCTGCACTGCCACTCTGGGCAACTTTGGTAAGGGACTTTTATTTGAATGCCAATGTTTTGGGATGGAGCTGTCCATGTTTTAGTATGTCCGTTATTATAACTGCTGTTTTCTCATTGCAGCCAAGGCCACCTTCGATGCCATCTCAAAGACCTACAGCTACCTGACCCCTGATCTCTGGAAGGAAACTGTGTTTGCCAAGTCTCCTTACCAGGTAATGTGTATTTTCACCCATTGTTCCTTTTCACAAATGCATCGTTGCTTTCTTGAAACTAAAGTGTCTGTCCTGTTTCAGGAATTCACTGATCATCTGGCCAAGACTCACACCAGGGTCTCCGTTCAGAGGACTCAGGGAGCTCTTCCGGCAGCCTCCTAAATTTTGTACAACAGATTGAAATAAAAGTCCAGAAAGAAAACAGTCTTTGAGTCCGTGCTCTGTTGTCTGACTTTAATGTTTAAAAGCTACGTGAAAGCAAATGGTTTGTGGATTGATGTTTTTGATTTACATACCCAAAACTTGCATACCCACAAAGTGGGCAAATTTCTCAGATTTTTTGTTTAGGTGGAGATATACTATATTTGTGACTATGGCTGAAGGGGTTTCAAGCACCCATATTGTCTAATGCTGCAAAGCACAGCTTTGATTGTCACATTCAGTGTCATACGATCCTTTAGGAATCAATCTATGCTGATTTTCTGCTCAAGAAAAATTTGATATATTAAATTGGTATTTGATGTCACATAACACAAACTGTTGTGCTGTCATATTTTTGTGGCAATCGTGCTTTTCAGTTTTGTTTGATGGGAAAGTTCAAAAAGCAATGATCATTATAGAGGTCAGTCAACCCTCTTTGTGCAACCTTGATGTGTGCATCAGAGTACCTGCTGTCCAGTAGCTGCCACTGTCGGTACATTAGAAACCAAATCTTACTTTGCTGGGACAAATTATATTTACAGAAGAGTGTATTGTGATTTATAGACTTTAAAGCAGCAAGTGGCATATATATATGCCAGCACATACATGAAATAAACAATACGGTTTTTAAAATGTAGGAAATGTCCATACGTAACCAACACAACTGACATTTAAATTGAAGCACAAATGTGAATAATAGTAAAGAGGTAATAACAGGAAATGGGTTTGTAGTAATAACCACTTTAAAACTGATGGGATTTTATTAAATGACAGCTACTGAGAAGTCACTTTAACAAACTTTATTTTACACTGATGCACAGTTAAGAGAGATTGACATAGAAAAGCCAAAGGAGAGGTTTGTAGGTTTATGCCGTCTGTTGCTCTGCCATCATTCTCTCCTTCTGTTTCATCAAACACTTTCTTGCGCTGGCGTACGCGCCAAGATCCCCATCTACAAGAATTAAAGATGGTAACAGCCAGAAAATTATTTCTGTACAACAATATAAACAGTTTTGGTTTCATTGTCAACTGAAAAGCATTTTAGACAACATCTACTACAACTGCACTTGTCCCATTGATTTAAAACGACACTAACTGCACAGAAAAAGATTTCTACCAGACATGATACTCACAGCGTGACTGAAAGGCCTTGGAAACCTCCTCAAACTGCTGCAATTCTTTATAACAGTTCTGTCTATAACTGGGACCCTCACGCTGCTGGCAGGCCCGAAGACGCTCCTGGATCACCTTCACTATCTCCTGATCCACCTTACTGCAGACAAAAAATTAAATAGTGATTGTGTGCACAGAACTTTATTATGTAATGCAAAGCTTAATGATATAGAACTACAAGGCTTTTTGAAGCAACATACTAGTCTCTCCTCCACTGCATCTCGGCCTCATAATAGCACACATAATCTCCTTCCTGGCACTGAGTCAGCTCAGGAACACGGCGAAACTTCTGATGGTAGTAGTGAGACTTCTTACCGCTCTGGATGCCTTCGACAATGTCTGGTAGATCAAAAAGCAGGGCAATTAAATAAGGATCATGAATTACAAGCCAAGTAGATTTTAGTTATCATTTGTTTTAGTCATTACAAGAATAGTTCACCGAAAAATGAAAATTTACTCACCCTCATGCCATCCAAGATGTAGGTGAGTCTGTTTTTCACCGGTACAGATCTGGAGAAATGTAGCATTACATCACTTGCTCACCAATGGATCCTCTGCAGTGAATGGGTGCCGTCAGAATGAGAGTCCAAACAGCTGATAAAAACATCACAATAATCCACATGACTCCAGTCCATCAGCTAATGTCTGTGAAAAGTGAAAAGCTGCATGTTTGTAAGAAAAAAATCAATCATTGAGACTTTTTAAACTTAAAACCGCCTAAAATAAAGTCCTCTGTCCATAATATTGCTTTCTCCAGTTGAAAACTTGTTTTGTTCGAATCAGGAGAGAAAAATGCACAGATCAAGCACTGTTATAAATAAATATGTTGGTGGATTTTGATGTGAAAGAACAATCGTGGATGAACTTTTTATGTTTTATGGACTCGCTAGAAATGAAGGTTTAAAGTTAAAATGCCTCGATGGCTTTGTTTCTTACAAACACAGCTTTTCACTTCATAAAATGGACTGGAGTCTTATGGATTACTTGTGGATTATTGTGATGTTTTTAGCAGCTGTTTGGACTCTCATTCTGACGGCACCCATTCACTGCAGAGGATCCATTGGTGAGCAGGTGATGTAATGCTACATTTCTCCAAATCTGTTACAAAGAAACTCATCTTGGATGGTCTGAGCATGAGTATATTTTCAGCAGATTTTTGGGTGAACTATTTCTTCATTTCTGAAATTACAATAAATGATACTAAATTAAAATGCATTGCTATTACAAAAAAAACAACAACAAACCAATGAAGAAAAAGTCACAAAAAACATCATAGCTTAACAAATATTTCAAATACTCACTCATAACTCATAAAAATTGATGATTGAAAATTGAAAAGTGATAAGTGTTAAACGGTTGTGTTTGAAATTAAACAACATGGACTCAAGACTCTTAGATGAGATACTGACTCTTAGGGCCAGGAACTGTAAAGTGTTAACATTTAGAAATTACGAGGGATAAAAAAACAAATGCATGTCCATAATTTGCCTTTCACACTTCAAAGGCTACTATATATCAAACGGGACGAATAAGCAGATGTAAACAGTATCAGATGCACTAGTGTGGAGTCGCTTCACCTCTGAATGTAGTCACTGGCAAATCCACCGAGTAGTAGAAGAGCTTTGACAGTATTAAAGCTGGATTCGGCAGAACCGATTGCCTATCCACCACTGGGGTCCGACTGGGAGGCTCTGGATACACATCTTTATCGTGATCTTTCGGCATTTTCGACCATTAATTGGAAGGGAAATGTCAAAAATCCTTTAATCGACCTCAGTCTGCAATCCACAGAGCGCATGCGCGCTTCACACAACATGGCGAGAAAGGTCTTCTTCTTCTTCCTCTTCTAATAACGTTTTATGGCGGATGGCAAACCAACTTCTGGTGCATTTACCGCCACCAACTGGACTGGAGTGGCGAGAAAGGTCACCGAGCGGCGACAAATAAACGGAGTGAAAATAACTTTTATTTTATTAAATTTCCATCATTTTGATAAAACAAATCTGCAGTTAATCTGTATAAAACGGACTATTTTATCTCCTCGTTTCGTTTGTAAATCGCCAGGTTGAAGGTGAAAGGTTATGCAATTATTTTTTTCTGCATATAGATGCCGTCGTTGCCCTCATGTAGTGACTTTGGATCACTGTGCATTTTTTTTAATTCCAAAAATTAAAAACTAAACTAAAAACTAAAACAGATGCAAGTACAATATGTAAAAATAAAAAAAGTGATTTATAAACAAATAGATAATTCCAAGGCTTCCCGTTAAATCTGCATTCCCTACTCTTCATAAATCTCAACAAATACTCATCTTCATTAAAAATAAAAAAGTTATTCATTTTATTTATAAGGTTATGTAATTTATATGTAATTTATGTATCACAGACTGGACATGTATGTGTGTTTTTTTTACGTAAATATGGTCAAGGTGCAGTCAGTACTTTAGCTTTATTGTATGGTTGGTTCTTATGGTTGAGAAACGATTATTTTGCTATAATATCTGGGCGCATTCATGATACTGCGTCTTATTTGTAAAAATAACTTGTTTGACAGGCTTGTACAGTACAGTCTGTGTGTGGTACAGTAGCGATTGTGTGGTCACGTGGTGGTGCAAACACACTTCTCCAACTTAACTCTGATCCAAACCGAGTTTATAAAACACCAGTTGATTCAGATAGTTGCAGTCGTTCGTCTGAACTTTATCACAGTCGGCGTAGTCATGTCTTTCTGTTCGTTCTCTGGAGGGGAGTTTTATAAAGATCTTTTTGAGACTGGTAAGTTGACCCCGATGTACTGTGGCGACGTGTGTTATATAATACCATGTATTATGAAGCTTGTGTCATTTGATTAGTAAAACTGCGGAAGTCTTGTTTTAAAGTTATCACATATGGTTCCTGTTGCTAAGATCTTTTTCAGCCTTTGCTTCAGATTATAGAAGTACTTTTTGACATGATTGTTTGGCATTTAATATTGCCAAAGCATCATAAAAATGGTGGTCTACCGTAAAAGTTAATTTCTGAGAAGTACATAAAGCCCATTTCTGAGAAGTACATAAAAAGTAGATTAAAAGTATACTTTCCTATTTTTAGTTTAAAAAAAGTATACTAATAGCACACTTGAATAAACTCCTTTTTCGTAAGGGTAATCGGAGTTGCTTTTTCTTCATCTTTACTTCATCAACAGTTTTTACTTTAATTTGTCAAGAGAATGTAGTTGAATAGTAGTATTAATGACTTTTTGGCAAATTAGTAACCGTTTAAAATAAGATCCAGAATATTTTATATTACCAGTGGGATTCTGTCTGAGACTTACAGTGTGTTTCTCCTGCAGGCATGTATGTTTGTGCCAAATGTGGACATGAGCTGTTCTCCAGCAGGTCCAAATATGAGCATTCATCACCCTGGCCAGCCTTCACAGAAACCATCCACGAAAACAGTGTGTCTAAACACGAGGAGAGACGGGGCGCTTATAAGGTGAAACTTTTTTGAAAATTTCAAGTGCTTATAGGAATAGTTCATCCCAAAACGAAAAATTGCTGATCATTTACTCACCCTCATGCCATCCAAGATGCAGATGAGTTTGTTTCTTCATCAGAACAGATTTGGGGTAATTTAGCGTTTAGCAACAGTTTGGACTCTCATTCTGACGGCACCCATTCACTGCAGAGGATCCATTGGTGAGCAAGTAGAGAATGTGAACAATTAATTCTGTATCGTCTTATACAGGTTAAATGTGGTAAGTGTGGAAATGGCCTTGGCCATGAGTTCGTGAATGACGGACCCAAACACGGCCTCTCGCGCTTCTGAATATTCAGCAGCTCTATGAAGTTCATTCCTAAAGGTATGCACAACAAACAATACAAGTATATTACATTTTAAAATAAGATTGATACAATTAAATTAAATATTTAAATTCAGAATTATCTGAATTTCTACACTAATGGCTGTAAACATGATCTATGCTATATTTCATAAGGTAAGCAATTGATTTCTACTTCTGTATGTCTTTTAATACATTTGACATGTTGCACAACCCTCTTGCTTTCTTTCACAGTCAAGAATGAACAGCAGTAGAGCTAGATAAGCACGTGAGGATGTTTCAGGAAGCGTGTATGGAGAAGATCTGATGTGTTTCCTGTGTGGATGGTGTATGAAAGGTTCTGATGAAAAGCCCACAGAGGAGCATTCAGAGCGATGATGTGTACAACCTCATTGGAAACACGAAGAAGCGTACTCCCAGTAACTGCTGCTACCATTCAACACACACAACTATGCAGTTCTTTTATAAGATGCACAATATACACTATACTGTTCAAAAGTCTGGGGTCAGTAAGATGTTTTAATGTTTTTGAAAGAAGTCTATTATTATGTTCACCAAGGCTGCGTTTATTATATAAAAAATACAGTAATATTTTGAATATTATTACGATTTAAAATAACTGTTTTCTATTATAATATATTTTAAAATGTAATTTATTCCTGTGATGCAAAGCTGAATTTTCAGCATCATTACTCCAGTCTTCAGTGTCACATGATCCTTCAGAAATCATTCTAATATGCTGATTTGCTGCTCAAGAAACAGTTTTTATTATTATCAATGTTGGAAACAGTTGTATTATTTGAAATATTTAGTATTTAATGCATCCTTGCTGACTATTAATTTCTTTAAAAAAAAAAACACTCTAAAAAATGCTGGGTTAAATACAACCCAGTGCTGGGTAAAATAGGGACAAACCCAGCAATTGGGTTGTTTTGTCCCAGCGGTTGGATTACTACCCAGAAGGTTGGGTTAAACATTTAACCCAAACGCTGGGTCAAAACATCCCAATTGCTGGGTTTGTCCCTATTTTACCCAGCACTGGGTTGTATTTAACCCAGCATTTTTTAGAGTGTAATTTAATTGACCCCAAACCTTTAAATGGTAGTTTACATTTGATCTTACTTTTCCTGTTATAGGTCAGTAGTTACAAAAGTGTAATTAATTTGGTTACTTGATAATGTGAGAATCACAAATGCTGATTTAATCATTTCTGCAGCCCCACTTGTTCATGCAGAGATAATCTATTAGATATTGTTTAGCACATTTACCACTTGAAATAATGTTTGTATTAACACATTTAGAACCATACCATTTTGGAAACTACTGCTGCTGTTTCTGTAGATCACTGTTTGTTTGCTAAGTGCAGAGATTTCAATCACTAAACCTCGTCCGCATGTGAACTGCTGGATTTTTCTGCTGTTACATATTAATGGAAACCCAAGAGTGTAAAGTTCAAAGTCTAAAACCCTCCATGAACATCTTCTTTTAAATGGGATTAATGAATACATTGTGTGAATGAATATGTAATGGAGCATGGTGTTACTTTAAAACTGTAAAGTACATTCATACTCTATGTAGAGGTCAATAAAAGCAACCTATGCCAGGATTGCATAAGAAATGTTTCTATTTCTGCTTGTATGTTGTATTTTATTTGCCTTTTACAGGAAACGGGGTTTAATTATTTAAGGAAAAAACAAGCTATAAGCATTTCATGTTGATGCTGACCTCTGATTTACTCCCAGTGAAACCACATCTGATTTTTTCTGATATAACAATCACAAATGGCTAATAACTAATTAACTCATTTTGCCTACTATAATATGTTAGACTTACATCCTCAAGATTAAACTATGCACAGTGTCGTTATTCAGGTGTCATCATTTGACACAAGTGCAACCACATGCAGATTTTTCTGCATAATGTGAGGCTGAGCTGCTGTTTTCATGTTGCTTCTTGTAGCTGGTATACCATTATGTCAATAATCTAGTCAATCTGTTACCATCTGAGATGTGTAAAAACAAAGCGGCTCTGATTAAAGTGCATTTAGACCTGGTAAAAAGTTAATTCTACACATTTTAACTTCTATGACCAGCAGTTGAAAGTGAGAATCAGTCAGACAACCTGAATCAGAAAATCAATCAGACAACCTGAGGGAAGTCGTGGCCTAATGGTTAGCGAGTCAGACTCATAAGGTTGTGGGTTCGAGTCTCGTACCGGCAGGGATTGTAGGTGGGGGAGTGAATGTACAGCGCTCTCTCCCACCTTCAATACCACGACTGAGGTGCCCTTGAGCAAGGCACCGAACCCCCAACTGCTCCCCGGGCGCCGCAGCATAAATGGCTGCCCACTGCTCCGGGTGTGTGTTCACGGTTTGTGTGTGTTCACTGCTGTGTGTGTGCACTTTGGATGGGTAAATGCAGAGCACTAATTCCGAGTATGGGTCACCATACTTGGCCACATGTCACTTCACTCACTTATTTATCTTATTTACATGACGGCATATCATTTCTGTCTCTACATGGTCGTGCGTTTACAATTCTCCTCTGCTCTCTCTATCGTGCACTATCCCGATGTGCGCGCATAGAGACACACACACACACAGTACGGCAGTTCGACACGACAGTTCTCCACACTCGGTTCGGCATGCACTTGCACCGCAGTTCATCTTATATCTGACGAAGCATATGCATATAATATGGTTTGTTGAAAATAAATAAAACAGACAGACAGACAGAGGCTAATGTATGTTTCTGTGAATACATGGATACGCATTCTGGCTTCCCCTAAACTTTGTTCACTTCGAGTGCCGTATGCTCTATATGACCAGTCATTTACACCATCATCAACTGGGTGCTGATAGCGCGCGATTGCAGATAAGACAGATGAGAGCACATATTGCTATCTGTGTTTTAACTAAACTCATTTAAGCCTTGCCAATTTTAATATTCC